TGAGAGTTTTTTCTCTATTTCCATTTCTCTTATTCTGAATTAAAAGGAAATTGGAGTTTTGTCCTATTTCGTATCAAACTTTTCCCAAGCAAGTTTCATTTGTCTTCAATTGTTTGTTCTGCTTATTATTAATACTTGTATTTTCAAGTATTTCAAGTACTGCCAAAGTTCATCAAAAAAAAATTAAAATTTTTGTTTTATTTTAGGGGAACACCTCTCTCCTAAGCAATTCAGAATAGGGGAATTTAATTCTAAGAAGAAATACATTTTGGAAGATACTTATTACCTGGGAATGTTTAGAATAGAGACGATTATAACAATAACTTAATGCTTGATATTATAGTATTGTATTATATTATACTTAAATTCCATCATTTAGTTAAATAATTCATTGATATGTAAAAGTAATTACTAAAATCAATTATTTGATTACAAACAATTTCAATACCAATCTATATTAGTGCTTCTTACTAAATGAACTACTAAGGTGCGCGACAAAAAGATAAGGTCAGTTTGTTTTTTCTTTGTGGAACTCAATTTGAGTGATTACTCTTTGGATCTTGTGGATTTTATTGTTCGATAGACAGAATGCAACAAATAAATTCTAATATAATGAGTAAACAAAGTCCCGTTAGTTTTAAATATATCAAAAAAGAAAAAAAAGCTAAATATTGCTGCGACAAAATGATAAGGTCAGTTGCAATTTTTGCATTGTTTGGTCAAGTGAGTGTTCCGTTTGTATTAAAATTTGATTTATTTTAATAATTAAATTATTAAACAGTTTTTGAAGAGAAAATGGGTCGTGGTAAGAGTCTCACTACTTACGAGAAAGGGTTTATTGGCGGAAAGGTTGTTGACGGAGTTGGAATGAGACAAATCGCCAAAGACCTTGGAAGATCACTGTGCGTTGTACAAAATTATTTGAAGGATCGAGAAAATTATGGAAAAAAAAAGAGTCCTGGTCGAAAAAAAGTACTTTCCGCGACCACAGTGCGCTCCATTGGACGAATTGCCTCAAATTCTACTATAAGTGCAGCAAAAATTAAGGCAGAGCTTAAGCTTACTGCATCCAATAGGACAGTACTCAGAGCCATCAACGGAAATGAATATTTGAAGCGAGCCAAAATGAAAATAGTTCCTTGCCTCAATGCTAACCACAAAGCGAAGAGGCTTGAATTCGCTAAATTAAACATGTCAACCAATTGGCATCAGGTAATTTTATAATAAATAAAACGAAAATAATTTGTAGGTTTTAATGACTGTTTTTTTTCTTTTAGATGATTTTTTCGGACGAGAAAAAATTCAATCTTGATGGCCCAGATGGTTTGAATTATTATTGGCGGGATTTAAGAAAGGAGCCTCAATATATTTCAAAAAGAAATTTTGGTGGTGGTTCGTTGATGGTGTGGGGAGCATTCAGCTCTATTGGAACATTGCCTCTCGCATTTCCGTCAAAACGCATGAACAGTGCTGAATACCAGAAAGTACTCTCCACATGTTTGCTGCCTTTTCTTGCTGAAAATCGAGAATCGCCGCTTGTTTTTCAGCAAGATAATGCAGCGATCCATGTGAGTCGGTCAACAAAGGAGTGGTTTGTGGGCAATTCAGTGGAAGTCTTGGACTGGCCCGCGTGCTCACCTGACCTGAATCCCATGGAGAACATGTGGGGAATTCTTGTACGTGAAGTTTATGCCGATAACAGGCAATTCAGCACTGTTGCTGAGCTGAAAGTGGCCATATTGAATGCCTGGAGAGAAATTCGGCAAACAACGCTCGCGAGCCTGGTAGGATCGATGCCGGGGCGTATTTTTAAAACAATCCAAAAAATTGGAAGCCAAATTAATTAAAAAATTTATTCTGTTCATTAATAAACTTGTTTTCGTAAAAAATTGCAACTGACCTTATCATTTTGTCGCAGCAATATTTAGCTTTTTTTTCTTTTTTGATATATTTAAAACTAACGGGACTTTGTTTACTCATTATATTAGAATTTATTTGTTGCATTCTCTCTATCGAACAATAAAATCCACAAGATCCGAAGAGTAATCACTCAAATTGAGTTCCACAAAGAAAAAACAAACTGACCTTATCTTTTTGTCGCGCACCTTATTATACTGGCTTAACTACACATTAACAGTGCTTTAAAATATCATTGCTGGAATTAATTATGATATTTCTATAATGATCTAGACTCCAAGTATACTAAAGATACATGAAAGACACTGTTTGGGTTAAATTATAGAAATACGATCTCACATTCAATAAGCAGCGATAACTGCTCAAAATCAAATCTCGCTGGAAACACCATGTTTTAATACAGCTCTCATAAAAATTAGAGAATTTATCTCATTTAAAAATTTGTTCCTTAAAAAAACTAAGCTTTAATGAAATACTAAAACTAATTTATTTATACTAATTTATCATAACCACAGATTTTTTTTTATATTTGCTGAAAATAATCTTTCTAAAATTATTAGAAATATTTATTCCATCAGTTGTTCGAAAGCACCTACATCAAAACTGTCTTGAATTTTATGTCAGATCGTTATTTCTCAGTCTTTAATAACAATTATTGTTTGTCATCTTTTGCCAGGACTTAGTATACATAACACATTGTATACAATAAATCATTTCTATACATAACACTCCTTTTGCACTCTGATAGAAATAATTTTTACATCGTTATGTACTTAAGACAAAGTAAAACTTGTTTATATTATGCAAATATGTATTCTTCGGCATTTAGCAGAGTTTAAATGCTTGAAACTAAATCAACTTTTATTATAAATTTTAACACTCAGGCAACTTTCCTTTAAAAGCATCTATAAAAATGTGTTATCAGTTTTACTTAATTCGTTTCTTATTATGCGCATATCAAACATGGCACAATTTTTAAAACATTTTATGCTAATCTTCGAACCACACCCAAAGCGTTTCAACAATAATTTTTTATGCCACAAATTCGTAGATAGTTAAATTTCCAAGCACATCTTCAAGATTGCACTTTTAATAAAAAATAATTACTTCGAGTGGTTATGAAGCATCTACCATATGCCGCATGGCTAAGAAGAAGCAAGTTCTGAATTAAGTTTGTGTCTTAAGTCTTTCGTTCGAAGAATATCTTAAGCATCTGTCGTGTGTAATAGTCATAATGGAATTTTTTTAAAGACCTATGAAAATATTGTTTTTAGTACAACATAAAAAACAGTATGAGTATTTAGTGTGCAAATATTTTATTAATAATACTAATTTAAGCTTGATTTTTAAAAATATTAATTTCTATTATGATACTCGTAAATATTTTACTTTAACATAAACTTTAAAAAATTTTTAATTATAGTGGGTAACAAAGTATCCACACTTTTATATTATAATATTCAAAACTGCATATTTAATATGAGTGGGTTCATTACATGCAATGAACGTATAATTAAAAATATTTTAATTTATTAAAAATATTTAGATATCTTCAACATTTAAAACCTACATTTTAATAAGTTAAATAAACTTGATTGTATATGTCGAAGCAAAAGTAAAATAATTTCTTATTTTATTTCTATTATATATAATACAATAAGCGATGACATACTTTGTCAAAGTGAACTGTCGACATCATCTTTTAAGTTTACAATAGGGATCGTTTAACAACCGCTGAACGTACGAAAATTATGAAAACTGCCTACAAAAATTATGAAAATTTTTGGTATCGAATTTTCTTTAATGAGGAAGCTTATTTTTTGCTTGATGGATATATCAACAAACAAAATTTTCGTATCAGGGACAGTAAAAATTTATAAAACTATTGCATTATATGACATTTTTCATACTTGACGCAATTATTTTAGCAAATGTTTTTTAAAACCGTCAATAATATAAAATCATAATTCCACTAATTTGTTTGTTACATTATCTGAACCTTAAGTCATCAAAGTAAAACTTTCCGAAATTGTAATGTCAATTCTAAATATTCCCAGGTTTCTCCCAAAATGTACTTCGGCGTAGAATAGAATTCGCCTATTCTGAATTGCTTGGAATACAAACTGTTCCCTTAAAATGTGTACAGCATTTCCATTTTTTGATAGCAAAAGGTAAAAAAAATAAGAAGCAAAACAAATCGAAGAAAGATTAATCGAAGAAATTTGTAGGATGCTGCAAATCCTCTTAAGTGGCCTCATTTCTTGTAAATACATATGTAAATTTAATTTGGTTTTAAGATAAATTTGGTTTGTAGATTTCAAAAATATTATAAAGTATATAAATTAGCATTTATGGAGGAACATACTAGCATATTTAAAATATGATTTTTTATTTCTAACATGTTTTTATCTTGATTTTAAGACCAGATCAAACCATGGCGTTCAATCAATTGCCAATTGTACGGTAACCCAAAATATATTTGAAGTGCCCAAAACAACATAGACTACATTAACTCGAATTTTTTAATTTTTTTAATGAATCTAAGAAGATCGAATAAGGAGAGCGAGAGCAGAAACATTGTTCATGCTGAAGACATAATAACTCAATGAAGTTCTTACAAATGCTGACGAAATGCTCTGTGTTGTCCACATTTTCGAGATATGGCTGATATATTGAGTATGTGATGATACCCAAAATGGATATGCGATATCCACCTGTGTTGTACTCTGATCAGTACAATAATTGCAGAAAACAATTTGATAATTTATTGTCCGGGTCTTTTACAAAGCTTTTCGTTACTTTGCAAATTTCCACTTCTTTTAAGGTCCAAGCCCATAAAGCTTTAAACCAACAATAGAATCTATGATATAAGTTAATTCGTTACCTATAATCCCACAGTCACAACAAATCCATATAGATAACTCTATCATACATACATTTGAAAAACTTGATGGATTAGTAAGAGATATATTCAACCCTTAACTGTTTAGTTTTAGTTTAAATACTTAAATAATAACTACAAAATCTACCGGAAAAAAATTTTTTGTCACAAAAATATATCTAATAATTTTTTTTTCTTTTAGGAATTCCAAAGAAAACTTTTCTATTTATTTGATTTGGAAGGCAATGGCTACCTCGTACAAGACCGATGGGTTGAACACTTAAAAGGACGCTTAACGTAAGTTTAATAGCAAAAATGTAAAAAATGATTATTAAAAATTAATAACTTTATTAAGTATTAATTTATTAAGTATTAATTAAGTGTAACACTATAAAAAATAATATTGATTTAATTGAAAATTTAAAAGGAGGTGGGTCTCTTAAATGACTATAGAATAGAATATATATAATACCTAAAATAAAAATTTTAGGTATTATATATATTAGATATTTTACTAATCATCATCAATTTTTTTTTGAAATGAAATTAGACAAATTAGCTCATATTAGCCAATAACGATATATCATATATAGAAATTGGTAATCACTACACTAAAAAATATTTAAATTTGTGAATAAATTTTTATTTCAATAAATATTCTTTAAAGTAATGTTAATTTAATTATCTGATATCAGATAATTGAAAAAAATCCATAAAACTTTCCCTCTAATCTTTGCTATACTTTACAAAACATCGCTGTATAATTCACAAAAATTCTAATAAAAGCTTTTAATTTTGAAATATATTGAAAAATATTATTTAAACAAAATCCAGATGTGGAATATATTTAAAATTCTTTTAGAAAAGAGACTTCTATTAAACTCCCACATAATTGCTTTAGATTGTCAAAGAAAAACGCATAAACATCAAAGATAGTTACTAGTTGGATTTCATTAAGGGAATGCGGTTAGTTATCGAGTTACGACCAATACAGAAATGTATACAGACTCTCATTTGTGGGGGTTTTTGAAAACAAATTTAAAGCTCATATAAAAATATATAATTGAAAAAATCCATTATATATAGAATATAGTAGTTTGAATTATTTAAGGGGAGTTCAAATCCCAAAACTCTCCTTGTAAATCCCATTTGGAACAATTAATTCTAACAAATTAAGTACATAATGAATAATTAAATCTCACAATTTATTGCACTCTTCTGTCCTATTTAAAATGAATATCTTCTATAGATAAAGTGAATTATTGCTTAGTCTGATGATGTGATAAACAATAATCCAGTCAAGGCGTAAAGAGGGGTTTTGAAGATACCTTGAGTTAATAAAGAGTAACAGTGCTCAAATGCACTGGCTTAAATAGCTTCAACATAAAAAATGAAGTTATTAACTATTACAATGTAGGTATACTAAAATTACAACAAATTTCCATATTGGCTAATATAATAAAGAAAGTAAAAAATGTTTCCATATTAAACTTCAATAAAAATTTAAAACTTCTAAAAGAAGACAAATGAGGAATATGTTACTTTTATGCTTAAGTAATAAATACATATTAACACAATCGTTCCAAAGGACTAAATGGTTTCTTGGGATCCACTCTTACTATGTACTAATAAGTACATATACAAAATAAATTTTGCTGTCTTATCAAAAAAAATTATTATTATTAACATTAAATTAAACTGTTATATTTAACAGTCTCATAAACAAATTAATGTTTTCTACTCAATGTACACCACTGGAATTAGAGAAATCCGTAAGTTTATATTAAAATAGTCTTACAAGTCTTGAAAAATAGACTTCAATACAATTTTAGTATTCAATAACATTTATATACTTTTTCATAATATAATTTCTGAAAGATGTATTAATAAAATAGCATAGTATTGATTTTTAACTGCACTATTATCAATCAGATTTTATTCTTTCTATAGTTAACGAATAGTGGTAATATTATCACAGTTTTATGTTAAAATCCTTAAAAACTACTTCATTTCAGTACTGAAATTTAACAATTATAGCATAAAGCTTTTAATTAATTAATTTACTTAATTAATAATTCAATTATTCTACAGTTAATTTCATTCTAATATAACACAGCAAGTGAATTAAATAATGAACTGTCACAGCAAATTAACAAAACTCCAAGTTAGAACATACAAATCAAGTACCGCTTTGGGTCAGTTGGCTAATAAACGACTCTGAGCGACTCTTTAGCAGAATGCGAGTTCACCCTTTGATACTTGCCGATATATAGAATTTATATATGCCAATGGAATTTGAATTCACAGAGAACTAATAGTTTATTTAAAAACTAAACTTAATAAAATATTTTTTTATAAAAACTATATTTTATTAGCATTAAGATGGACTATTTAATTCAAAGAAATTTTTATTTAACACACATCAAGAAATTATTTGCCATAAACAAATTAATATTTTCTACTCAATGTACACCACTGGAATAACAGAAATCATTCAGTTTATATCAAAATAATCTTACAAGTCTTAATAAATAGACTACACTTTAATTTTAATATGCAATATCATTTATATACTTTATCATAATATAATTTCTGGAAGTAATAATTATAAAATAGCATATTATTGCTTTTTAACTGCGCTATTATTTTTCCTATAGTTAGCGAAGAGTGGTAATATTGTAGCAGTTTCTCCAAACTCCAAGTTAGAACATATAAATCAAGTGGGCCAGTTGGCTTATGTACACTAATACTAACAATTAAATATAATAAATAATTCCAAGAACACTGATAATGGTTATTTGGCAATACTCGAAACAACTCTATGGCAGCCAAATATTGAATTAATTAAAAATAATAAAATTTTGTTGTTGCAATTCCTTGTTTTATGACAGAATAACTCTATTTTTTAGTGAATAAAAAATAAAAAAAAATAAAAAAAAAATAAAAATAAAATAAAAAATAATAAGAATAAAAAAAAATAAGAATAAAATAATCTTAAAATTTATCGAACTGTGGTATCGTATAGTATTATTGAATCGAATTGTTTTGATGTTTGATGTTTTGTTAATTTTGTTGATTTTCAAAAACTTAGATTTCTTTTTTTATCTGTATAAGAATATGATCCATTCGAGCTATAAATGGGAATCTTGTGGAATTTGTTTTTATTTTTTCTTTATAAATCCTTTTTTTATTCAAAAATGTTATAAATCCAGTGTTTTAATTATTTTTCTTTTTAAAACAAATAAAATTAATAACTTTTAATCAACATTCTCGTCTTCAAGTCTGTGTTTACGAATATACCCATATCTCACCACAGCTAGGTATTGAAACTTCCAGGTTGTCTGTTGGTATTCGAACTCGAAGTGTTGGCGTTAGTAATTGACTTATTTGACTCATGTAGTTGTATGTTCCTTACTACGTTCAGCTTGAACATGATGTAAGCCACTACTTCTTGTCTTTGTTCCCGTATCTTGTATCTCTGTTAATGTTAAGACACCGTCGCCGCTCCTCACAGCTGGAACATGACTACCTAATGTCCACCTACTGAATTTTTGCACACAAAATTCTAATGCAGATTCCAAAGGCATGTCTCTTTGCCACACAGAAATGTCGCAGATGCTGCTTCTTTTTTGTTTCTTATAAGCATCTTAATAAAAGACGTACAAAATCTTGTTTACGAGCCTCTGCAACAACATTAGATAGTTTGCATTGCACTTCCTTGACTATTTATTGCCAAGACTTCTCTAAAGATAAACAAGATTAAGTATTTTTTTTATAAAGTGCATGGTTTGTTGTTAGTTCGACTCAGATAAGGCATCATTTGGAATATTTAAGTGTGAAATGGCTACAAGTACGACATGAAAAATTAAATGAGATAATCTATGATGATTTAATACCGATACATTTTCATGGGTGCATTTAAAGACAAAATTTATTGGAATCAATTTCTTTAAAATTCATTTGAATATATAATTTTAATCGTTTCGAACTGGTAACTGTTACTGTTTGCTGCAGTAATAAATATATTTCTAATATGTGAGATATTATAGAGAATATTTAAAATAAAAAATTACACAAACCTATTATACACTCCTGCACACTCCTGTCTCTATGTATTTTCCTAATAAGGAATAAGTGTATACTCTTTTGTACAAATATTTGCGGTTCGTCATCAACAGTAAAAGATTTCTGGACATAATTAATGTCCAGAAATCGGCCAAGAACGATAAGGAAATGGTTTATAAAATAAAAAACCATCTTCGATCAAGACCATCTGTATACTGTGAATGGCGTCAACATAGCTCTTGGGCTATAAAAATAATTAGTGTCCAGAAATCGACCAAAAAGGTGTAACCCACACCATTCAATTATGTCGATTATCTCCAAACATGCAACATAATAAACTTTTATTATAATTGCGAACCAATCGAAGAGAAACACAGTTAATAGTAGAAAAAAATATTCAATCAAAAAGAGTATTTAACCACGGAGCTCAAAAAAGCTATGATTATTCAATTAAAGTACGCATAATTGCAACAACTAGATTACGAGGGCTGCTATATATATTTCTGACCTTATAATGAAAATGCGAATATTTATCATCAAAAATTGTTTTATTGTTTTTCAAAGTATTTTCCAGCCTGATTTATACACTTTTGCATGCGCTCAAACCAATTGTCAAAGCACTTTTTCAACTCCGATCGAGACACCTCCAAAACATGGTTTTTGAACGCTTCAACAGCATCTTCTGGCGACGAAAATCGTTGACCACGCATTTTTTTCTTGATGTGCGGAAATTAAAAAAAAATCATTGGGTGCCAAGTCAAGTCTGTACGGCGGATGACCCATCAATTCGAGGTTTTGGCCGGTCAAAAAGGAGCTGGTTTGAACCGGTGTGTGAGAGCTCGCGTTGTCATGGTGAACAATGATTCGTCTTCTCTTGTTCGTTTTTCCGAAGACTTCAGGCAAACAAATTGTGGTTTACCACTCAGAAGTGACCACTCATCATTACTCAAGCGAAACAGTTGCCACATGACCAGTTTTGCCGAAGAAACAGGCGACCATTTGCTTCGAAGTGCTTCTTCCACGAACAACTTTCGTTGGATTTGGCTCGTCTTCGAAGACCCACACGGTCGATTGTTGTTTTGTTTCGGACTTATATGCATAGATCTATGATTCTACTTCTATTTTTTCAATATTTCTTTGCACCAATCGACACGAGCCTTTTTTTGAGCGAATTATGCGGGATCCAACGAGGACAAACCTTTTTTACGGCCAGGTTTTCATGCAATATCGAATGTATTCTGGTGGGAGAAATGCCCAAGGATGCCTCTATCTCACAGTAGGTCACATGACGATCTTGCATTATCAGTTCACGCACGGCATCAATGTTCTCTGGCAGAACGACCGTTTTTGGACGACCTTCACGGAATTCGTCGTTGAGCACTTACTGTTGCCCAGGCCAGAAATGTATATAGCAGCCCAGTTACGCTGATTCGAAAAAAGGATCAACATACATACATACATACTTTTTTTCAAACTTTTTAAACATAACATAAGAATTAATAAAATTTGTATGATAATGTACATAAAATTTTGTAGTGTAAGTTATTTGAGTAGTATTTTTGAACACCTAATTTAGGATCGTAAACAGAAATATATATAAACGGACCCATTCTGTGCACTTTATAAACTTGTCCAACATTGACACTTGTCAAAATTGACTGGTGTAAAGGTTTTGGTATTTTGTGACATAAATAAAAAGCTCTTTTCCTTGTTAGTTGTCAATACTACAAATGCTGTTGATAACTATAAAAATATGCTCTTTTTAAGCATTTTTTATTTTTTGCATGCATGACAAATATTCTTAACTAAAATATACGCTCTTTAGCATATTTTTTATTGAATGCATGAAAAATGCTTTTGGCAACTTAAAATATGTGCTCTTTACAAGCATTTTTTACGAACAGTTACGAACAATTACGAACAGTTTTCTATACAAAACACTTTACACCATAGTGTGGTGAGAAACACTAAGTACTTAAGCTTTGAAATATGTCAAGATGTGTCCTGAATACCAAAAAGCTTTCTGCTTTATAAAAATCAAAAATTTTATTAAAGAATTTGACAAATCTGTCAAGTGCACAGAATAGGTCCGAAAATGTGTATATGAAAACTAATTCAATGTTCGTACAAAAACATTTTATTAAAAAAAATACATTGTTGCAAATATAAATTGATCTAAAATTGATCTGCAAATTGATCGAGGGGAGTTTGAACTCAAAACTTGCCCAATAATAATGTATATATTAATAATAAGAGCAATAAACTTAAAACATTATTAGTCATTTAATCTTTGTTCACATTTCATATCACTAAGGGGAATTTTTTTAACTTTATGAACGAAAAACTTATATATATGGATTTCCTTTAATCTTAGAACTGACTAATTATATATATATTTTCTTTTCAGTGATGACAGACAGATGGATTTCGCAGAGCAACTTGAATCAGTGGCATATGTAATATGTGGTGAAAAAAGTAAAATTACCTTCAAAAATTTTAAAGAAATTTGGCAGACACGTGGTGTAAGTACTCAAGTATTCTATCTATACAACTAACATCTAGTTTCGTACAAAGTATACTTTCTGTAGTACATACATTAAGACTGAAAAGTTTTCGGAAATTCTCATTTAAAATTCGCGCGCTGTATATTTTTCGATATTTTAAGTTTATGTAGTTTGGCAGCACTGTCCTTAATTACTATGCCAAAAATGAGCTCGATCTGTCAGACAGTTCGTTTACGGCAGCTGTTGAAACCAGTTCACCTCAGTAGTGCGTTGCGAAATGTCTTCGACGGTCGTACGACCGTCCTGGAAGGCTTTGTACCACTCATAAACTTGAGTTTTCGATAAAACTGATTCCCCATAAGCCTTTTGTAGCATTCGCAACGATTCTGCACACGAAATTTCGTTCGAAACACAAAATTTGATGCAAACTCTTTGTTCAATATTTTTTTCCATTGTTTTTTTCGCAACGCCCTACTGAGGTGAACTGGTTTCAACAGCTGCCGTAAACGAACTGTCTGACAGATCGCGCTCATTTTTGGCATAGTAATTAAGGACAGTGCTGCCAAACTACATAAACTTAAAATATCGAAAAATATACAGCGCGCGAATTTTAAATGAGAATTTCCGAAAACTTTTCGGTCTTAATGTATAAGATATCTTGGCTATTTTAATGCAATTTAAAGTACATAGATATATATAAATGAATTGAGTTTCCCTGAAGATGACTATCGAAGGTAGTCGAAATATTGGAAAAATATTTTAATAAAATATAAATTGTTTTTAAATATAAATGATAAATTATAGTTTTTTTATTTCTATTTAAATTGACCAATTAGCCCACTAATAAATTATTATATAAATGAATTGAATACTTTATTAAACATATGAGAAATAAGTTAATATATCTAATGAGCTATAATTAAGATTATTTTCTGACTAGCAGCTACTTTATCCCTGTAAAGCACAGGATTGTTGTTTTTTTATTAATTTTTATGTACATTGTAAATAGTTAAGCTCAAGGAATTAAAAACCAAACAGTATAATCATTAAGCTAATTTAATATTTTTAATCTATTAATCCAAATATAGTTATTATATTTTAAAGCATATGCGTCAATATTTTTGAACATCATATCTTTTAATGTAATTACAGGTACTAGATAAATTATATCGACTGATTGATACGGATAGCACAAATTTGATATCAACTAATCAAATTATGGAATTTATATCACACCTCACTAACTCAAGGTAAATATTGTAAAAGAAAATTAAAAAAAATCAATTATAATTAATACCTAATTTTAACTATAATAATTTTCCTTATTATTAAAGCAAAAAGTTCCTTTGATAACTTTAGCCTTTCCTTTGAAACTTAAATACCCCTTTAAAAAAATCTACCTATACTTTTATTTCCTTAATTATTGATAAAAATATGTTTAAGATCATCAAAAAGTTTATATTTTACTTTAAAGTATTAATTTATGATACTTATTTTTTATTTTCTTATACAAGCAACTGCCGCTTTTAATACAGGACTAAAGTTAATAAAATATACTTGCAATTGATTTTTTACAAACTATTATTTGGACCCTGCCTTACCATTAAGCTTGAAATACAACATATTCTCCACGGCACTCCTTACAGTACTGAGCAACTTAGAGATAATTTTTGATTATTTATCGATAAATTTCTGGCAAACCCTCAACCATAATTTGACGACATAAACACGATCCCTCACGTAATCCTACAAAAAAGTACAGATCACACCTATATTCTATATAAGTAACTAATGCAAATAGATAAAAGAACGAATATGAATAATTCCTTTTATTTGATGGACTTATGGGATTCGATGGATTCGATCCATACATCGAGTTTTTTTTGTATCCAGCCTTATTCAAATGTTTACAAACGATTTTTTGTGCAACCTTTAGCTTTTGGGTAATCGAAACAGTGCTTACATGATAAGAGTAGATTGGACCTGACAATTTCCATGATTTTATTGACATTTTGAACAATTGGCCTTCCAATGCGTGTGCATTTTTGACTTCGAAATTACCGGAATGGAATAGATGAAGCCAAAATTGGGCATGATTAACAGTTACAGTATCTACTATAAACTATAAACACTATTCACATTTTCAGCCGTCTGGCTTGTGTTTTCACCTTTATCAAAGTAACACTATAAGTGTCCATTTTTGATAAGCGCTTAAACAAAGCTGAGTCATCCAATTACCAAACTGTCAAAAGAAAATAGCAGTTCTTTGGTTCTTTGATTGGAATCCAATCAATTTCATTTATTAATATCAGAAGCGATTAATCAAATCAAAAAATAGAACAAAATCGAATAATTTTTAACATCTCTTCTCTCCAATAACTAATAAAATTTTACAGCCAATTAATTAGAAAATTTTTAACAGAAATTTGAAGATCACATTCCAATAAGTATAGCTAACTGCAGAAACTAGAATGACATTTTATAAACCAAATTTTATTAAAAGTTGTGTTATTATTAATTAATTGTGACCTTATAGTGCTTTAAGGGTACTCTATTAGTAATACAAGTATTGCTACAGATTTTTAGAAATAAATATTTTACAGAAACTTTCTATTATCTACTTAATTAGTGAAGGATCCATAAATCAAAGAAAAGCAAAATATTTTTTGATGCCTACTTTTGAAATGACACTACATAGAAAAAATTCATAAATTACGTGATCAATATAAATTTTTTTCAGACCACGCACTGGCTTCGACAAGAGCTCCTTAGCACGCCTGGAACAATTATTTCGCAACACTGTTGGTAATGAGCAGGAAATACGACGCGAAGAATTCAAAAAAATTGTTACATCAAAGAATGTAAGTATCATTTAAGTTTATGAGATACCAATAACATTGTAAGCAGAACATGACAGATATCACAACTTTTTAATTGCATTTAACATGGTTTTTATTATTTACATGCAGCCTTTCTTTACGGAACGTGTCTTTCAAATATTTGACAAGGACAATTCTGGTTCGATATCATTACAAGAGTTCATTGATGCAATACATCAATTTTCTGGACAATCCGCGGATGATAAAATACGTTTTTTATTCAAAGTATATGACATTGACGGTGATGGTTTGATTCAACATAAGGAACTGCACGATGTAATACGTGCTTGCATGGAGGAAAATGGCATGGAGTTTTCAGAGGAACAGGTAAGTATTATTCTATTAAATTTGTACGCATATTCATTTTTTTATATTAATAAAAATAGATTGAAGATCTAACCACAGCTATGTTTGAAGATGCCGATCCATACAATCGAGGTGAAATAACTTATGAAGCTCTTAAGAATCAATTAAACAAACATGGTGGATTATTGGAAAATCTAAGCATAACGTAAGGAATACAATTAAATAATCATTTTAAACTATATTTTAAAATTATTTAATTAGTATACTAGTATTAGAATACAATTTTATAGATTTTATACAAATTTCATACAATACTATAATATATTATTTTATAAAAACTGCCATTTAATAATGCATAAAGTTCAAAATTGGATATGTTTTCATTGCAAATATAATATAACCATATTATGCTTATTTACTCTTTCTTGTAAATAATTTCGTGTATTAATAAATTAAAATTTAAATAATAAAATGCTGGCTTACTGCACTTAAAACACGGAAGGAAAAGAAATATCAAAAAAGAGAATATGTGATAATGTCTGTACTAAAAATTTTAGATGTTCCAAAGAAAAACATAAAAATAAAATAAAAAGTACAAAAAAAAAATTAAAAAAAATTAAAAATAAAATAAAGAAGTTTTTCGAACAGTAGTGAACTACAATAACAAAAATTCATTTTATATTATTTTAATTAATTGGATTTTTGGCTGACCATGCAGCTGTTTCAAGTATTGTCAAATACCCATCATCAGTAAAATAAAAATTAAAATAAAATAAAATTAAATTAAAATAAAAATAAAATAAAGATAAAATAAAGATAAAATAAGGATAAAATAAAATAAAATAAAATAAAATAAAATAAAATAAAGATGAAATAAAATAAAATAAAATAAAATAAAATAAAGTAAAGATAAAATAAAGATAAAATAAAATATAGATAAAAAATATTAAATTAAATTAAAATTAAAATTAAAAGTGAATTTAAAATTGAATTAAATTAA